GAAGGATGAAGTCAACAAGAAACCTCTTTGCTAAAACTAGGAGTGGTGGCTGATCCAGGTCATTGTGCTGATCTCCTCAAAAGTCACCAGGTTTTATGCTGAGTTGGGGATTTTTTTGGTTTTCCCACCAGGGGATACCTTCTGGATACCTGTACTGTAAGCCTTAGCCTGCCATCAGTATTTGGGCTTGTATTTTCCCAATGAGGTCAATCAAGTAGCGTTTAGTTTCTGTGCTGCCCATTGGAGTGGTTTCTGCACTCTCTGAGCTGGGTTTGAATCCAAGAAATCAATTGCTTCTGCCAGTACAAAGGGAGCAGAGGGCTTTACCAAGGCTTTACTGCCCCAAGGATTTGCATGGATTTAGAGGTGCATGTTTCTCAGCATGCACTTAGGACTCTGTGAACTGAATAATCTCTGTACTACTTCCCACACTGTGGGAACAGGCAGATTTCTAAACAATGTCAAAAATTATTTTGTAATGGAAAATTGAAGTCTTTTGTTACTGTAGTGTCATGGAGAAGCATTTTGTTATAACTTGTTTTGTTCAAAGGTTTTATGTTATCTTTTGATGGTGGTGGTTTATGGTTGCTTGACTACAACAGTTTGACAAGTCTGGTACTAAACTATAGGTTATTTTGATCAAATGGAAACACATGATTCAGACAAAAATCCTGCACCCATTCTCTGATGAATAAAAAAATTAAGATGAGAATGAGAGAAGGACAAGCATACAAAAACTTAGCAAACACCCTCAAAACCACATGTGGTTCAGGGGCTTCCTGCACCAGGTGTAATTTCAGCTTAAGTACTAAGTACTTACAGTAGTATTTCACTCTGATTGTCCCCATGCTCCCTTGGGACCCTCAGCACCCTCCGAGACCCACAGAACCCTGAGACATGGATTTCCACAGTAGACCATTGCTTTGGCTTCAAACCTGCCCCATCTAGTTTCACTTGATGCCCTTTTTTCTCATGCAGGAGAAAACAGAATGAACAGCAGATGACCACTGGCTGTCTCCATGCCCCCCAGTCATGATTTTATAGATCTGAGTTTTTTCCTTCCAACACCTCTCTCCCTTCCAAGTAGATGGCATCTTACCAATTATCTATTTGTTTTTTAGAAATAGGAAAGTGGCACTGGCACCTTTAGTGCTAAGAAGCAATTGCATCCTTTCTGAAATCAAGCATCTTGAAAAAGGAAATAAATATATGGTTTCCATGTTGCACATCCATATGTGAGTGGATGAGCACAAATCTCATATTTCATTAAACAGATATCAAATAGCTGAGTAACCTTGCTATTTGACCTGTGTCCTTTTCTCATCATTTGGGTCTGTGAGTAAAAAAATCAGACACTTTCATTTCCCCATTTTCCTTGTATTTTCAGTGAAGGGAGAGATATAAGGTTTAAATCTTATTTTACCCATGGATATCCAAAACATTCAGAGCATCCTGAGTATAGGATTCAAGTGTTCCTCTGCTAGTTTGGAAAGGTAACCATTCATGCTGACCATCTATATTCTTACAAAAGCAGCACACTTCTGATAGATACAAATCTTTTCTTTTAAACTTACCATATTCACAGTAAAACTGGCTCAGTGCCTGTTTTCTCCACCTCTTCTCAACCTAGATTTTATAATCCCTTCACTTCTTGGAAAAAAAAAAGAATAACACTTGGGTGTCCACAGCATAGCTTCAAGGAACTGGGTGAGTGGGTGTTTGACATTCCAGCTGGCAATTTTCACTACTCCTGTCAAAAGGTGCAGGAGCTGTACAAAATCCTGTTATCCTGTATATACTCAAGCCTCCTCTGGGCTCCTACCTTTCACTTATGGCTTGAACTCCATGCATCCTTTCCAGGGGAGGAGATCAGGAATGTTCTTGGTGGTTACTTCTTGGAGTTTAATGTTAACTGCTAGTTGAAGCAGTGATGGATTAATTTCTGCATTGTAAGCACTTTATTTTCTTGGTGCCAGGACCCTTAGTAAATTTGCAGTTAAATTAGGTATCTCTAAGTATGTGAACAGAGTAATGAGGAACATTTACTGGCTTTAACGTAGAAAAGTGCCTTAACAAATGATGAGGTGTTAGCATGCACTTTACATCCCAGTGTTTTCAGTAAAGTTGTGAATCAGGACCCTGCTTAAGTGGAGTCTGGTTTCATCTACTGAATGTCTAAAATACTTGACATGCTGATTGTGGTGTGAGTTTTGTCAGCCAGTCCAGTCTTCTACCACATTTTTTCAGAACATGCCCATATAAACCAGAAACACATATGATCACAGCCTGCAGTGACTTGAAGCTGAACTGAGTGTGATTCAGTGACCTGAAGGTGAAATGTCCTGATAGCTAATTACCAATGCTACGATTCATGCAACCTTCAGAGGAAACTTTTGCTGTCATCCTCAGAAGGTAGAGGCATGCAGTGCGATTGACTGAAAGCCAGTGAAATGGATATGTGAGCAATATTCCAATTTAACTCCACAGAAGCCCACTAGTTAGTAAGTAGTTCAGGTCTTTTAGTGCCTGCTGTGTTACTGCCTATAGGGAAAACACTCTAAGTGCTTTCCCTTACAAAAAAAAGAAGTTTCCATGAAAAGAAGTTTCCATCTATCTTTTATAAGGCTGTCTTGTCGCATCTATTATATAGCATTATACAGCCAGCCAGAGGAGGTACTGGGGTGATTTCCATCATGTGTTTTATCAAGATGCCTTTTGTGAAGGGTAGAATGCATATATATATATATAGATATATGTAGACACATATATATAAACATATGTATGTATATGTATATACACGCATAAAAATGTAGGTCAGTTATCTGTGAAGATGTGCCTTATGCTGACCTATGGACTGTCAGATGTGGGGTGTTAGTGTCTACATATGTGAAATCCAAACATTCTGTCATCTGGCCAGCTTGGCACAAACAGGACGCAATTATCCTTATTCTGAGAATATCAGGTCATTTACTGGAACGGCTTTTAGAATTACTTTGTTCCAGTCCATGGCTGACCAGCTATTTGAGTAAATAGTAAAGAACAGGTTCTGGTTTTCAGTCTCCAAAGTATGCTGTTAATGTCACAGGAGGAAGAAAACGGCAAGGGAGATGCCGGAACAATGCTGGGAGTGGGGTTTAACCCCTAAGCCACCCAATATCCCTTTCCATTCAAAATTGCAAAGAGGAGAAGGGGATTGGAGGAGTAATAGGAGGGGTGATCCAGAGACTATCAATTTTATATAAGGAAGCATTTTTAAAGGTGCATGCATAAATTTTCTATGCTTGCATGTGCACAAATGCAAACTATCATCTATGTGCACAAAGAAGTGAGATGTCAAGTTTTCAGCTGAAAACAGACACTGTTTGTGACATTCTAGTCATCCAGAAAGCCAGTTTTCCCACTCCAGAACAAATTCAGTAGAATATTTTTGTTCAGCAGTAATACTCTTACGTACTTCAGAGAGAAGGGAATGTGTGCTTGTGTATAGATGTAGATATACACAAACGATTAGCAGGTAAGAGTGTGCAGTGTATTAGAGAACTACTTGACACATGCATCATTTGTCTACATTTCTGGGTTCATTACTCCAGCTCTCCCATCACCGTTCTGATGTCTAACACTTTGGCAGGAGTGATCCAGACAGTTACCTAGCTCCATGTTTTGTTTTGTTTTGAGTGAGCCTGGCATGAAGAAAAAAAAAAAAGAGGCTTCCTTATCTTCCTTGTAAATGTAATGCTTTCACTCCAAATGCTCTCATTTGATGTCCAATATAAGCACAATTAATTTCTGCATAGGCAGCATCTTATTTTATGTCCTTTGAGGATGAGGCATAAAGGTTCAAAATTCCTAGAAAGCAGAGAGTTCCCAGAGCATGAGTAGGGCACCTAGAAATGGGACACAAAAATTACACTAGGGACTTGAGAAATTCCTTAATGTCTTCAAGCCCAGTCTTACAGGTACTGAAATATTTAAATAACAAAAACAGGCTTTCACAGAGAGGGAATAAAAACTGATGTTCCAGTAAAAATCGAGGCTGGTACATTTATTTGACTGCTTTCATTTACTACTATTTCTGTCTTGGCTGAAAAATATCAAAGGAGGTAAAACTATCAGGAAAAGAACCCTGGTCCAGGCTGGGGGTGGGTGGGGAGAAACACTCCCCACAAGGTGCAGCAGTCTACAAAAAGCAAGCTGTTGATCCCTCTGTAAGGGAAAGGTGTTGCAGGGAAGAAAAGCAGGTCATTCTGCTGTCGAAACACCTGAGAGAGTCCCCTGACTGCTGAAGGGAGCAGCCTGGGCACGGACGAGTGGCTTGCTCATGAATGTGACCATGAAAGCCCTCAGCCGTGGAAATGACCATGCTGTCCTTGGCAACACTCAGTCAGTCCAGCTAACGGGAGCTGGTAAGGGCCAGCTGCTGGTATGCTGGTAGCTTGAATTTTAAACAAAGTCACCTGGGGGTTATCAGTTCCATGTGCACTCCAGGTAGATCCTGTGCAATCTGGCTGAAACACCTTCTCCCCATGGAGCGTGGGGAAAATCTTGCCACCAGCCTTGCTGGGGAAAAACATTCTCCTTTCCTCCGTGATGCCACCCACTGCTTTCGTGTCGCCTTACTGTCACAGAACTGCACCATGCAATCCTTGGTTTTAGCCCAGAATCTCAAATGCAAAAGCACATCTTTGTCCCTTTAACTTCGCTCTCAGATGTTATGACTGTTTTCTCCCCTCCTCTGGGACTGTGCACTCTGTTGCTGCTCTGGCTGCTGGGAGTGAGAGAGGAGAATTTCTCCTGCTGGCAAGCAACGGGCTAGCCAGGCTGGCGTGTTCCCAGAACACTGCTGCTTGCATACCAGCAGGCAGAGGAGCAGGTGAAATGGGACTGGTGACATCTGTACAGATGCATTTGACTGCTTGCCTGCTCTTACAAATCCGTTACCCTTAAAGCCTCCTTTTCTCTGACAAGATTTTTCTCTTTCTCTCTCAAATTATTTTTCCAAGGAGAAAAGGAAAAGACAGACAGAAATAGAAGGCAAGAGACAACAGCTTGAGGACCAGATACTTCAGCTGCAGCATTTCAAGGTAAGGGAATGATGCCAGAAATGATGGATTGACTAAATCTGTTCATTATTAGACATGCAGATCACACATCTGAAAGCTAGGAAGACCCCACTCCGACATGAAGCAGCTTTCATTGCCGGAGCCTATCTCTTGCAGTGATTGTGTCCTGCCTGCTTTTCATTCTGTGTGTTTCATGCATAGGAACATGTTGCAGAAAAGGCTTAGGAGCATGGAGTCGGAAGGGTGTGAGTGCAGGCAGCACGGCACTGCTGTTATTATTAAACACTGTTATTTATTATACATAATGGTAAGACATGAATCACTCTGGATTGGTTGTGCACTGCATAGCTTCAGTGAGCTCTTTCTGTCTGCAGAGCTGCATTGGATTTTTCTGGTGCCTGTCATTAGGTTTGTGTGCGTGTGTGTGTTGCAGAGAGGGTGCTAGTTAGCATGTGTGCCTGTGTGTGAAGCTTTAATTGTAGGATGAAGTTATTAGGTGTAAATGGCATAATAAAATGGGCATGCATTCAGATGCAGGGAGTGTGTTGATGCATATGTGCATGTCTACATGGAGAGGAGCCTTGATATTTGACAGGGTACTGAGCAGCCCCAGTCCCTGTTGGACTCCATGACAGCTGCAGAATACCATCGTTTGAAAGCCATCCTAGTTATTTCTATCATTCATCCTTCCTATCAGTAGCCGAGTTTGTCATTACATTTGTGTAGAGCAAAGAGAACAAAAATGTACATGTGATCTTTTTGTAACCAGTGTGCCTTTTTGGGTCAAATCTCATTAGTTTACTTCAGCAGGGGAGCCTGAGGAATTTTAGTGATTAACATATCTGAGAAAGATGATCAGGACTGGACAGTTTATTCTTGCAGCAAGTGAGCTGAGCTGTGCTTTTAAAATCAGACATTTAGGTTGGTTGTACAACAGTATGTATGCATATGTGAACAGTACACCTGTGAGGGGTGGTGGTGCACAGAATGTCTTCTCTGCCTACGCATGCACTTGAAGACCAGACTTCAAGTTATGCTACAGACAGAATGCTCCTGCCTCTCCAAGCCCCTGGCATCATGTTCTGTAAACTGTTTCTCATTTTCTGGTAAACATGATGCAGTTAACCCCAAGCAATCGATTACAGCCTACACAAATGCTCCATTTGGCTTCACCATAAATCTGTTGATGTCACACATTGTCTTCAGTGTTACCAGTGATGTGATTGCTTTTCTGTGGGCAGCAGGAGTTGCCATTTCCTTCAGGCTGCCATTGACTACAGGCAAGGGAGAATTTCTTCTGAGGACCGTAGGTTGATGCAGCAGGGCAGTAAGATGCCTTTCCAGTGCCTTCATGGTGCTTGCTTTTCTTCTCTTTGCTGCAAAGATGAGGACTTCCTTTATCATGTTAACTGTTTCCAAGCTAGCTGAATTATGCTTTTCCGTGAAATTCTTTAATCAGAGACTTTTGGAAAGCCAGTTATGGAAATTCTTTACTTCATTTGATTTATTTTTATATAAAAATGTTTAATATATTTAGCTGTTGCTAAACAAAATTCTGTCATCATCCACAAGCAAAAGGAAAACCTCTCAAGGTGGTACAATGGAGTTAGCCCCTCAGCTAGAATAAACTGATACTGACTTCAGCCCTGCTATGCTGATTGACACTAGCAGAGGTTCAGTCTTGCTGCATGGATTTTTTTCAGTGATATACACAAAAATTAACTATTTCCCTACATTATTTAGCTCACATCATGGAGCAAGAGCAAGAACCATCCAAGAAGCTGAGGGGACATCAGGGCACAGAAATTTAAAATGACATTCTCCACTAAAAGCACAGCAAGACTTAAGCTTCGTAATGCTGGGTACGAGAATGAGCATCAAGTATGACAGGAGCTTCTCTGCCTCTCCATTAAGTGCCATCACTTCTAATTAGAGGAGAAGTGTGTTGCTTTTACTGAGAGGTCACAATAACTGCTGCTCTAGGAGCTGCCTGTACCACCACACTGCACCACCATCAACAACTGTCTGCTGGAAGACCTGGTTGAGGTGATAGCACAGGTGTGTCTGAGATAGATTTCATCCTGACTGCTGCTAAGAACTTCCTAAACAGATGGAGGCCCTGGCCACCCCAAGAAAAAAAAAAAAAATTATATATAATTGAGGCACTGGCTGACTGTGTTTCCCTTTCTCTGTGGCGGCATACCAAGCAAACTGCATTTTCCTTTCATGCTTTGTTTAGTGTTCTGGTTGCTTAGTGGGGTGCTGACCAAAATGGTATTTGGCCCACCAGGCTGTTTTGTTCATTTAAAAAGCTATGTATCCCCCCTTATCTCCCCAAGGCTCTCCCTCACCTCACCCTGGATGCTCTGAGCCTCTGCAAGCCAGGGCCTCCAAGTCTGCTATGAAAAGAGTCCTGCAGTCTGATATGGCTCCTCAGTCTGACTGTCACAGTCTAAACCAGGTGCGTTTGTTTGCCTTCAGAAGTGCTAGGTGCAACATGGTTAATTTCCTGAATTACATGGATTTCACTAATTCTAAACTGATTCTGTGCAAGACAGAAATCCAGGTCAAAAAGATGAGGCTTACCCAAGAAGCCCATTACCTAAAATGCTGTGAGGTTATTGATGTCAATGTAGAGTGCAAGGCCTTCATAATAACTGGGTTAATACTGTGTCTGCTGTATCTGGGTTGATCCCACAAGTGGAGCAGCTTGAGTTCAACCAAAAACATTCATGACAGGGTTCAATAGGTTTGCTTCATTTTTGTGCAATGCCAGCGTAACTTTTATCTTTTAAAATCACTGTGTAAAATAGCATGTTTGGTTACCTAATAAAGATTCAGGAAGCTGCAGGGGTTTTGTTAATTTCAGACAATGGCATTCACATAGGAAAAATATCACATAGAAATAGTTTATTGCAAATGTTTGTGCTGGATTACCTACATTTTTCAAGTTGCTGCTGACGATTAGACCCATGGCAAAATAACTCTACTAGCAGTTATTCATTATTCCCTTGTTAAGTACCTGGAAATAAGGGAACAGTGGCCACTGCCCCATTGGATTAGACAAAACAACTCAGCGGTCACTGGAGTTAGTAAATGTCAGTATCGAATGTGAATGAGTCTTTGGCAGCACATTTGCAAAAGCTCCTGACAATGCCTCTGATGGTTTTAAGGCTGCAGACATCAAGACGAAAACATTGGTCAGATATTCATGGTCTGTGTGAGTTTATGAGTTAAACAAGTAAACCCCACCCCCAGGTGTGGAAGTGTGGAGTAGGAGAGGATCTAGAGCAGTCTAGACTCTAAAAGGTGAATTCTCTCATTGCCGACTGTGAAAGTGTCTTCTGTGAATCACTGAAAATTTGGGATGCTGGGGGGCACAGAGCAGCCAGGGTGGTACTTCTGGACTGTTGAGGCACTCCGTTGGAGACAGGAGGTATATTTATCTACATTACAATCAGATGCTTCATTGGAAAGTCCCTGGGTATTGGAAAATGTTTGAAACAACATTATTTGAGTATAACATTTTGAACATGTTCTTTTGCTCCAATAAGGGGCAATTTACGACACCTCCCCTTGCCTCCCTCCTACTTGGCCATATACCTACAAAACAGAACTTGCCACATCTATGGGAACTGGAGGTCTTACCAGCTTCTATATTTTGAAATCAGAGAAGCAGGCAATATTCACCTTACACAGGACAATGATTTTAGTTCCTCAGTTGCACTGGAAGTGTAATCTACAAGCAACAGTTGCTTTTAAGAGCTTGTTCAGCTAGGCAGCAGTTGAGTGGGCCTGTTTTAATGGAGTTGTTTGCTATTTCAAATAAATTCTGGGGTAGAAGTATTTCTTCTGAGATTTGGCTGCCTCTGTATTTAATTGAAGAGAATTTCTGTAATTGTTTACTGTAGCTCTGTTTACTGGCGGCTGGTAATAAAATAAACAGCACAAAACCTCCTAACTAAATGAAAAATTGCTTCTCTGCTGTTACTTTATCTATTATAATAAATCTATTTACCACAATTATTTTATTGCTGTGTGGTATAAATATTAGGGACCTATTTCTGTTAACATCTGCTTCTAGAAGACTGTAATTCATGAACACTTAATCTGAACACAGAAAGGAAAGCTTTTTTATGTTATAGAGATTTCGTTAGAGTATGGCTTTAGCAGAAGCTATTTTATTATACTTATATATAATATTAAGTATATAATAAATATATTAAGCATATAATAAATAGTATGGATATAATAAATATATTAAGTATATTATATACTCAAAATTATATGTCATTTTAGTTATCTTATTCCACAGTTACATTGCTGTCATTAATTTTAGTTTTAAAATCTAGTCTTAAAATCAGAGAACATAAATATATCTATCCATCTATCTACAGTGTTGAAAAACAGACATAACTTTTGCTAATGAAAGAATCTTGTTACTTCATGTTTTATCCTTCTATGACTTTCAAGTAAATCAACTCTTAAACCAAATGGCAACTCAGTCAAGCACAAAAAAAAATGTGATCTGATGGACAGTCTCCATTCTCTACAGGGTCAGCGCAAAAGCCCTCAAAACCTGTTCTTCTTACTCATAGAATCATAGAATATCACGTTGGAAGGGACCTCAAGGATCATCTGGTCCAACCTTTCAAGGCAAAGCATGACCTATACAGGATGTCCCAACACCCTGTCCGGACGAATCTTAGAAGTGTTTCGGTGCTGGGGAACCCACCACTCCCCTGGGGAGATTTTTCCAATGGCTGAATCTTCTCATTGGCAAAAGTTTTCCTCTTGTGTCCGATGGGAAACTCCCTGGGAGTAACTTGTACCCATTACATCGTTGCATGTACATCTTTTCCATGTGACTTCTTGTACAAAGGGAGCCTCCACTTTCTCTGTAGCCACCCGGTAAACAGTGGAACATGGTCACAAGGTCTCACCTGAGACTTCTGAAGGCTTGACAAACCCAGTTCCCTCAGCCTTTCCTCTTATGACAGGATTCCCAGTCCTTTGATCAT